TTTTTTGGGTTTTTTTTTTTTTTTTGAACTAGGGTCTTACTATGTAGCTCAGGATGTCCTTGAACTTATAATCATTTTTGCCTCATCCTCGCTACTGTTGGGATTGCAGGTGTGTGGTACCACATGTGCCTGAAACCTCAGTTTTTTTTTTTTTGGTACCAGGGATTGAACTCAGGACCTTGTGCTTGCCAGACAGGCAACAGAACCACTGAGCCAAATCCCCAGCCCAACCTCACATTTTTTAAGCACTTAAATTGAGTAAAGTAGCATGGTTCTTACATAACGTGGGCATATTAGAGAAAATAAGTTAATTCTAAATAAATGTGATTTGTCTTTAGTCTGTATTGAGTTTATAGGTCAGCGGAATTTTCTTAAGCAATTGCATTTGCAAAATCTTTTGTCTCTGATTTTCATACCATTGATCAAAGAAACTGTTACCCTTACTAAATACAAAGTGATAGAAACCCAGAAATACCAAAGGGGTGGGTATAATGCGCTTGCTGTGCAGATGTAATGGTTAAAATATTCATGATGGGACTGCAGTTTGTTTGTCTCACTGCCAGGCGGCTCTGAACTTCTGGTGGTATATGTGTGATTGTCCCATTTGGCAGCATAGGATGGGCCCATTGGGTGTTACAAGCTGCCCAAGGAGACAGTCGTGCATGAACCACCTGTGGTTCAAGCTGGGTTAAACTAGCAATTTTGAAATGTCATTATTTAAAACAAATTTCTGTTAGTGGGCTGCTTTGTTCTTGCTTAATTTCTTTTTCTTTTCTGTTTTTTTGGTGCTGGGGATTGAACTCGTGTCCTTGTGCTTGCAACCAGGCCACTGAACTGCTGAGCTAAATCCCCGGCTCTTCTTGCTTAATTTCTTAGGTGATGGCTGAATGTGTTGTGGCTGCATGAAAATGTGGTTGATAGGTAAGAAATACAGCCTATTTGGCTTTTTATATTTCACGACCAAGGACTGCATCCTCAGTTTTGGCCTCTTCTCAGAAATGCAGTGTGTGTGTGGCTGGTCATGTGTTTGTCTTTACTGAATGATAGCAGTAATATTTTAACATGTACAACAATAGTGTGATCTTAGCTTGATTAATTTAAAATATTTTCACCTATAAAATTATCAATTCATAGTGGCATGTCAACTCAGTAGGCTTCTAATTCAGTTTTTCCTGTAGCACAGAGATTTTACTGCTTTACCTCTTGAAATATAGCCATCTGATTCTTGCTTGTGTACTATTCTCATTATAGGAAGCTCTTGAATAAATTCTGCTGAAATCTGTTTCTCTCGCCTCCACTGACCTGAGTTACACTGTCTAGAACAAAATAGAGTACTTTGTCTCCTTAAAACCATCATCTTCAAAGCAAAAATCTTTTTATTTCATAAACACATGATGATCTGGTCCTTGCTTACTGGTTTTGTTTCTGGGTGTTCTAGCTGCTCACTGATGTACAGAATGGGTATAAAGTACACAAAACATCGTAATATCTAAAAGTGGCCTGATAAAAGCTGGAGGCTGGCTCAGTCTGTTGCGCCTTGTCTATTCCTCTGCAGTGTATCAAGATTATCATATTATTTGACTTTATTATTTCCTAGACACTTCGTCTCACGCTAATGCACAAAGAGGGATCAACTAAACGTCCAGGTTTTTGCAGTGTATATGGGAGGACATCTTTAGGGTTATGACTTCAAGTTTCATTTGCTTTGTGGACATTTTTCTAAAGTAGGAAGCATGTTACATTTTTATATCTTTCTTTTAGATGAAGTAAAGAAGATCTTAGATAAGTTTTATAAGAGGAAAGAAATTCAGAAACTGGGTGCTGATTATGGACTGGATGGTAAGACTGACAACATCTTTCTAGAACTGTGTTAACTCTTAAGAGTTACAGCTTTGTCAGTATCATTTGGCACCTTGTGGCCTGGAGATACATACGCAGTTGTGGCCCAGAGGTGAGTCTCTGCCTTCTGCTTCTTGGCAGGAGGCTGACAGGACTAACTGGTGAGGCAGACTGCGCAGAGAGGGTCTGTGCAAGTTCAGCCTTCCTGGGTGTTGTGCTGGGAGTTCAGTCTGAGCTCCAATCTCAATAATCTGTCTGTCCTGAATTACTACCATAATAATAGTAAAAAAATGCATTGAGTTTGTTATGGTTTTTATATGTGCTTTTAAAATGGGAACCAGAAATTAAATGTGTTTTGCTTTTGTGTTTTCCACAGCTCGTCTCTTCCACCAAGCTTTCATCAGCTTTAGAAATTATATTATGCAATCTCATTCCCTGGATGTGGACATTCACATTATTTTGAATGATATTTGCTTCAGTGCAGGCAAGTATTTAGACAATTAAAAAAAATTCTGTTGAATATATTTTCTTTTTCTTACTTCTCCAGCAGAGCTTATTTGTTTTAGAATACATCCTGGTAAAATCCCCTGTAAATAATTGCCCACTCTCATGGGAAGCCTTCTAGATCATTTTGCTTTTGCATTGGATTCCTCACAAATTTAGTAAGTCACACATATGCCTTAGATGGGGGCCTTCCTGGATGGTGGTAGTGTGTGCCTGTATGGGAGGCTAGCCTGGGTTATATATCGAGACCATCAAAACACAAAAACAGGGCCAGGGATTGAGCTCAGTGGTTCTGCTGCCTGCCTCAGGAGCACAAGGTCCCAAGTTCAATCCCCGGTACACACACACAAAAACAAAAACAAAGCAAAAAACCATGAAAACACAAACCAACAAACAGACTGGGCCTTGTTCAGTCATCATATGCTTTCTACTGAATGTTAATATAGGCCAGGTGAAACGAGCTCTCATGTGACAGAATTGGTGCATGTGAGATTCTGTTTCTGTCATAGGTTTCATTCTCCTTTACATCAGAATAAAGTTCTTGTTATATAAGAAAAAAAGGAAGAACATCATCGTTTCATTCCCGCAGGCAGTTTGTCTTTGGTTGTAATTTTTCAGTGTGTTTAACTCTTAGACCTTTGCCTTGTGCGGGACACTGAGGAAGAACATGGATACAGAGCAGATGGGATGCACCCCACTCAGAGCCACTAAGGTGTGGAGGATTCTTGCTGAGAATCACTTCACTTTCATATTTGTTTCTCTGTGGTCTTTGTACCCAGCTGGGGGGTGTATGGATTGGTAGAAGGTGTAATTAATACACATAAGGCCCTGGATTTGATCCTCAGCTCCCAAAGTTTTAAAAGATTACAACTCCATCTCTTTTCATGTAACTGTAGGCCTTCACTTAAATGTGTGCATATAGATTCATTCTTTATAGCTTCACTTTTACCAATGCTAATCTTTGCCTGTTTGCACCAGAAAAGTAGCAGAGGTTGGTATTCAGTTTTGTTTTTCCTTGAGTTGAGTTTGGATAACCTTTAGATTGCACATGTTAATGCAGTGTTTTATTTTCCAGCTCATGTGGATGATTTATTTCCATTTTTCTTGAGACATGCCAAACAGATATTTCCTGTGTTGGAATGTAAAGATGATCTACGTAAAATTAGTGACTTAAGAATACCACCTAACTGGTTAGTCTCTTCTTTGTGGATTTGAAATTTTCAGTTTCTAGTTTTGGGATACTATTGATTACTATGTATTTTATTGTTTGCCAGATGACAGATGATAGGGTGTCTTAGTTACTTTTGTTGATGAGACATAATACCTAACACCTACAATTTAAAGGAGGAAGGGTTTATTTTAGGTTATAGAGGTTTCAGTCCATTGTCAGCTGGCTCCAAGGCAGGGCAGCATGGCAGGGGAGATAGTTTATGGCATGGCAAGCAGGAAGCAGTGAGACATCAAGGGAGTAGGAAGGATATATACTTCTAGGCCACACCCATAGAGACCTACCCCCTCCCAATGTCACACCCAGCTATAAACCCATAAGCAGAGTCCAGTGTCACACACCCATGATCCCGCAACCTCCCAAAAGCCCTACCTATGAGCCCATGAGGCTTTAGGGGGACATCTAGATAGAAGCCATAAGATAAGAAGTTTGGTTTGTGTTATTTTCCCTGAAAAAACAGGTAGTTAATTCTTTCTGCAGTTTTCTGGTATCTCTCCCTGTTTCTGATTAAGTTTGGATTTAGGTTTTATTGGGGCAGATCTGAAGTTTCCCTACTTTAGGGTTTTGTCTTTAGGTCTGAGCTGTAGCCTTCCTGGTGTCTCAGCTGAATGCCTGGGTGTTAACAAGCTTTTTCCCCCAAAGCTAGAGTAGCAGCATCTCCTAGCACTTTGAGGACTCTTTGAGACTCTGCTGATCTCTTGTGGTCTGCTGTCTTGTGGGCCTTGCTGGTTCTCCCCTTCTACATACTCAGCCCACCTTTGGTCAAGGGCCCACAGGGAACCCACACAGACTTCAGGGCTCCCCTGCCCTGCACTCTTTCTGCTCTTCCACACTACCCTTCAAATTCCAGCCACTCCATCAACTCTGAGCTTGATCTCTGCTGCTTTGTTCAGTGGGACTGTTGTGCTTTGCTTGGGTTCCACCTCCTGTGCCCTACTGGGGCGAGTAGCTCCCATGTTCAGCATTCCCTTCTTTTAGGGGTTACAGTCCTGCACTGCCTGTTGTCCATGGCCCCAAAGAATTGCTGCATGTATCTTGCTCAGTTTTGCACTTGCTGACTGGGGGAGGGCAAGTCCACTCCTTATCTGTTGGTCCATCATAACTAGAAGCAGAAGACTCAATTAAACTTGTATATATTGAAATTCAGAGGCCTGAAATACTTGTTTTTAAGGTAAAATATTTTGGGGGCTTTTTTTTTGGTACTGGGGATCAAACTCAGGACATTGCACTTGAGAGGCAGGCAGCGGCCCCATGGATCCAAATCCCCAGCCCTAAGGTCAAATGTTTAGAGCTGTGAGAACGATATGAATGGATTTGTAGAGCAGTTTAAACTTGTTTTTAGTAATTCCTGAAGAAAAGAGTTTGTATAATTGGGGAAATATCCAAGAAATTAATTTGCATTTTGAATTTTCTGCCTGCTAGTTAGTTAATGTCATTCTTGGAAATCAGTAATTATTTTAATGTGGATGTGAAACTGGGTGTAGACTATTGTGTGACTGTTAAGAGGGTATTTAATTTGGACCCCCATTGATATCTTTGCCAGGATGGATTTTGAGGTTGATGGAACTAAGCTATTTACCACTTAACGTTTTAGGTACCCAGAAGCCAGAGCTATACAGCGGAAGATAATATTTCACTCAGGCCCCACAAACAGTGGAAAAACTTATCATGCAATACAGAAATACTTTTCAGCAAAATCTGGAGTGTACTGTGGTCCTTTAAAATTACTGGCACATGAGATCTTCGAAAAGAGTAATGCTGCTGTTAGTATATTACCAAGTATTTCCTCTTCTTTTTTTCCCTTGTTTTCTTTTTTGAGAGTGAAGGTGGACCTGGGGAAAAGACATATGTAGTAATTTACTGTTAACAAAAAAATTACCTTATTTCTGTGCACCTAAGAAACTGTGACTTGTAAGAGGTTCCATTGTTACATGTACAATTAAGAAAGAAAAAGATGCTGCCAACTGAACTCTGAGAGGCCAACAGTGCTTAAGTTGCAGCCTGATTTCAAAGGTACTAAAATGTACACTTTAGAAAGAATGGAATAAAATATTACAGAATGCTTCACATGTGTAATGAAATACAGAGAATAGCATGCAAATAGCTTTAAATGCACTACTGAACTCCATTAGGCCCTAGTTTGTTTTATTTATTTTTTTTGTGTTGGGGGGAATGTAATTGGGAATTATAACCTAAGGAACGCTGATCTACCGCCTCAGCTCATTTTTAAAATTTTATTTTGAGACAAGATCTAAGTTGCCTAGGTTGGCCTCCAATTTGCGATTCTCCTGCCTCAGCCTTCTAATTACTGGATTTGCAAGCATGCGTCACCATGCCTTGCTTAGGACTTTTTTTCCCCAAACATAACCATAGGTTATTTACCTAAAACCTGAAACAGGATATTTATTTATCTGAGGTGGGGTATTGCTATGTTGCCCAGTCTGGCCTCAAGTTTTCAGTTCTCCCACCTCAGCCTCTTGAATAGCTGGGATTAAAAGCATGTATCACTACACCCCAGTTCTTAAAGCAGGATATTTACTATTGCTAGAATATTATTTATTTACTTAGTTTGGTATCAGGGATAGAACTTGGGTCCTTGTGCTTGGGGGGCAGGCGGTGGAACCACTGAACTAAATCCCCAGCCCGCTAGAATATTATTAGTATACAGTAGAAACTTAAATTTTGTCAGTTGTCTAATGACAATATATTATTCCTATGTTCCTCCAGGATCCTGTGCAAAGTCTTACACTGTATTTGTCATTTCTGTAGATTGCATTGATCTGGAATAATTTTTTGGCCTGCGTCTTTTATAACCTTTACATTTTGAAAGACTAGAGGTCATTAGTGTGGTAAATTGTTGCTCAGTGTGAATGTGACTGATACTCCTTCATGATTCGATACAGTCCTGTAGAATGTCACCATTCCAGTTTGCTTGGACTTTCCCAGATTTAATACCAAAAGTGTTTTATTCTGGGGAACCCCTCAGTCTTCAGCAAGCTGGGATGGTTGATCACCCTAATATATCCCGGCAGTGATGTTGGTCCTTCTCAGGGAATGAATTTCACTTAATAGTGTTCTTTTTTTCTTTTTTCTTTTTTTGGTACCAGGGATTGAATTCAGGACCTTGCGCTTGCAAAGCAGGTGGTGGAACTACTGAGCTAAATCCCCAGCTCAATAGTGTTCTTCTTGCATATAGAAACAGTTTGTGTTCATTTAATAACTCTAATAGTATAGAAACACAAAGTTTAAAAGTGAAATTACTAGAAGCATACATTCTGTTTCCTGAGGGTTTAGCTGATTTAATGTTATTCTGTTTATGTTATATAAAAGAGTAGCTCTATTTCTTATAAAAAGGGGGAAAATTGGGAGTATTTTATTTCAGCTATTAAATACATTTGATAATAATGGAGAGAATATGATATTAAAATCCAAAATTTATTTTTGCTATTTTCTTTGTCTGAATCTCTTTCTCTCTCCCTCCCCACTCCTCTCTCTTTTTTACAGTTAAGGCTTTGTTGTGTAGTCCAGGCTAGCCTGGGACTCTGTGTAGTCTAGGCTGATCTTGAACTCACCTGTTGTTTTCCAAACAGAACTAAGTCAAGGTTTCTTTTTGTCATTCCAGGGTGTGCCATGTGACTTAGTGACAGGTGAAGAACGTGTGACAGTTGAGCCGAGTGGGAAACAGGCTGACCACATTTCTTGTACTGTTGAGATGTGCAGTGTTACGACTCCTTGTATGTATATGCCTTTTAAAATGATTTGGTAGTTTTTATTTTAAAATACATGTTTTTTATTATTAGAAAGCATTAAAAAATCTAGAACAGGTCACCTCTACCTGGCTGAGAAGCTGGGAACGGGTCCCTAGACGCCGCTTCTCATCCTTGATTGTAGCCCTGCCGCTGCCTGATTGGTAGATTCGTGTAGCCTTTTTAATAATTGAATAAAGATGAAAATGGATCCAAAACATTAAGTTCCTTCTCCACCAAAGCAGTAGAAGAGTACCACCTTCCAGTGGCTCAATTCAGGTTTTGGAAAGGAGAAGAAAAGTGAAATACTGAAAACCGAAGCAAAGAAAACTTCATTTTGGAACTGTCTTTCTCCTTGACTACCCCTCACTCCCTGTCTTTCTACTTGTTTTAATTTGCTACATTTATAAATAGTGAAGACCAAAGAAATAGAACATGTATTTAAGAGCTATATACCAAGAAATTTCCCCAGAAAGCTGCTGTTCTGTAGAGGAAAAAAGTTTATCAAATTCCTGAGTGGTTCTTTTTTTAAAGCAAGTTTTCTTAGGTCCTTAGATTTTGAAGGTTAAGATAATTACATACACATGTAGCTGCACACTGTTTTTAACAGTTGTGTAAAAATAATGAGATTTGTGTTTTGAGGGCTTTGTCATGTGGTGGGTTTACCACTGGAGTTGACTGCTCTGAAGATTTTTTGATTGTTTCAATGTTTTCGATCACCTTGATATCATTATTTACCTGCACGTTGAGCTACCTGTCTTTCTATGACCTGTTTATGAACAGTGTTTGCCCTCACTGTGCAAATGTCCATGTATCACCTATTTAAGCAACATTATAGTGCTGTTACTCAAGGAAGTTGAATAAGGTGAACATAGACATAGCTTTTTCCCCTTAACCCTCTTTTTAAATGTAACAAATACTTTTTATGTTCCCCTTCCCCCTTCCATTGCCCCTCCCCCCTTTTGGAAACGTGTTTGGAACTAGGTAGTGGAGAATGAGCAATTGAAGTGAATAAGAAAGTGAGCCACAAGGAGCCGGGCTTCTTTGTGCTTCATTACAAGGTGTACTGCTGGCCAGGTTATTTAAGCTCCCTTTTAACAAGAAAATCTCTCTGGTGATCCATCTGGTAACGCAGTGAGTTCGGAAAACAGGACCACAAAGGTTACACTCTTGGATCCTGGCCATGAGGTTGGATGCCTCCCCTTGCTGAAAAGAGACACTGGACCTAAATGGCGCAGCATGACTTTGTTCCTGCTTGGCTAAATTTCTCAACGCCATAGTGAGCTAAGTCACCTACAACAACATTTGAAAAACACGGAGACCACCTACCCCAAGGAGAAGGTAGATTTGGAGTAAACCATTATAGATGCAATTCCTCTGATGGCTTTTTTAACAATGGACCTTTATGAACTATAGGAGATTCCTGGCACCAGCCCTCCCTGTTCCGCCATGATTCTGTGGACTCTGGTGTCTCTAAGGGAACATATGCTGGAATCACAGGGAATTTATCTGGTTGGCACAGCTCTTCTAGGGGTCATGATGGCATGAGCCAGCGTAGTGGAGGTGGCTCAGGGACCCATCGACGCTGGAATGGCAGCTTCCACTCCTGAAAAGGCTGTGCCTTTCAGGAAAAGCCACCTACAGAGGTTAGGGAAGGAAAAAAAGGACAAGGTGGAAAAATTGCAGTTTGAAGAGGAAGACTTTCCTCCTTTAAATCCAGAAGCTGGCAAACACAATCAGTCATGCAGACCTATTGGAACCCCTGCTGAAGTGTGGGAAAACCCTCCTAGTGCCAACCAACCTTACAAGATGCTAGTAATCAAAAAAGTTTCCAAAGATCCTGCTGTTGCCTTCTCTGCTGCATTCACCTCAGCAGGATCTCACCATGCAAATGGAAATAAATCATCAACCATGGTTCCAAGTATCTATATGAACTTGGTTCCTAAGCCTGCACCACCTCCTTCCAAGCCCAGTGCATGGAAAGCTAACAGAATGGAACACAAATCAGGATCCCATTCCTCTAGCCGGGAGTCTGCCTTTACCAATCCAATCTCTGTTACCAAACCAGTGATACTGGCTGGTGGTACAGTTCTAAGCTCTCCCAAAGAGAGTCCCTCCAGCACTACCCCTCCAATTGAGATCAGCTCCTCTTGTCTGACCAAGTTGACACACTGAACCACTGACAGGAAGAGTGAGTTCCTGGAGACTCTGAAGGATGACCAGAATGGAGACTTCTCTGAGAGCAGAGACTGTGACAAGCTGGAGGATTTGGGGGACAACAGTACACCCAAACCAAAGGAAAATGGGGAGAAAGCTGTCTTCAGAATGGTCTCTCTCTCCCCATTGTGGAAGAAGGGGAGGTCCTCTCACATTCTCTGGAAGCAGAGCACAGGTTATTGAAAGCAATGGGATGGCAGGAATATCCTGAAAATGATGAGAATTGCCTTCCACTTACGGAGGATGAGCTCAGAGAGTTCACATGAAGACAAAGCAGCTGAGAAGAAACGGCTTTGGAAAGAATGGCTTCTTGCAGAGCCACAGTTTGAGCCTCTTCTCCCCTAGGAGAAACACTTGTAAAGCAGAGTTTGAGGATTCAGACACGGAAACAAGTAGTGGTGAGACATCAGATGATGATGCCTGGAAGTAGGCACAGAAGTGTTCACAGTTCATCTGAACCAGTAAACTCAGCTTGTATGTTTCAGGAATATGCAAAAGAAATTGTTGTTTTCCTTTTCTTATGTTGAATACTTAAGGCACAAGGGAAATAATCATATCCCACAGAGAGAGCAGTTGGCTTGTTGAGCTTTTGTTGTTGTTCTTTCCTGTTAGCTGCTTAATAGAGATGTTTGTGTGGTGGGAAAGATTTTTAAAATACACGTGCAGAACATACGGGCAATGCACAGGCGGGAGCTGGCAGTGCAGATGGGGAGGAGCTGGTGCTGGCTTGCAGCAGCCGCTTCCACTACCAGCCCTGGGGCGCTTACTCACCCCTGTGCTCAGGCAAACATTGTCAATGACAAAGTGACTATTGAAGTTATAATTGTATTAAATTAATGCTAATAATTTGGATATTTTATTTTATTTTTGGCTGCTTGGGTAACTTTAGCCCTTAACCAAGCATATGGTTTTTTGTTTTTGTTTTCCTTTTT